AGTCAGTTGTAAAGGGAGTGGAAGCTACTCTAAAGAGTAACAATTGGAAAGGGAGTCATTTGGAAAGGAAGTCAATGGAAAGGACGTCAATTGTTAATATAAAAAGAACATGTGCTTTTGAAAAAAGTCAATTTAAGGAACCTACTAAAACATATTTTAAAATTTATTGTTAGCTGCATTAAAAAAATCCCATCATATAAGTGATGATGTAGTTGTATCATCAGTAATAATTATGATCATAAAGAGAAGAATATTGGAAATACGCGCATAAATTATTTTAATGGATCGACAGAATTCAAAAATTTTTGGTCGATTTGCTGATTTACATGGCGGGCGTTTCGAAATCCGTGGAAATACGAGCGTTCGAACGGATTCGGGAGGTCGTAAAAATTTCAATTTCAAATTAAATCGGCGGAAACGGGGGCATTTTAGAAAATCCCGAAGAGAAAAAAAATACGGAATCTTGGTTAATTGGTGTTAAAACGTCAAAACATCGCAATTTAAAAGATCGGCCGAGCTATTGACAGCTGAAAACGGCTCTCCGTATCGAATGAAATGAGTTAAATGGCGGGTCAAAATTCTCATTTATTCGATAGGAATATAATTAAAGGTGGATTTATATTGCCGTTTGATGTAACTTTTAATTCACTTTACATATTATTTAGATAATATCTGAAAGTACTTGTTTTTTTTATTAATTTATTGCAACGAGCCGACGAGGTTTCTCAAGAAATACTATTTCGCCTCATTAATAAACAATATGCAAATTTTTAGTACGAAATAAATAAGGTCAAAATGAGATCTTATACGCTTAAAATTAATGCGTGAGAAAAACCGATTAATACTAAATGGAGTTAATCGACTGTTAAAAAACACATTCTCTTAAAGCAGGAATTTATTTACATTATGATTATTCGAATTGATGTATTAATCCAGCCAGAGCTATTATAGTTATCTCCGCACTGCTAAAATTCACGTGGAATAAGTCTATTTACGTTTACTCTAGCACGACTTTCACTTCTGCGGACGCCCGACAGAAATTTCGATCATTATTCGAGCGCACTTTCGGCTAGTTAACGATTCACATCCACATGGCACACAAGCCGGAAACGGCGTTCCACGTGACTAGTTCGGGGTGTGCGTTTTTGCCTTTTTTACACACCTAGTTAAATTTAATAAACTATATACAAGGTGCTGTACCGTACCGGTGTACCTAAATAATTGATAAAACCCAACTGTTTTGCTTAATGAACTGTGAACTACGGGCTGCTCGCTTTCGAGTCCTGTTTTTTTTTATTTTCGTTTGAAACGACTGTGTAATTTGTTCGAGCTTTTTTTTAGGACTTGTATTGTTGCGTCAATGTTTTATGAATTAATGAGTATTTGACGATCGGTTTTTAAACGTAAATCTACTGGAAATTGTAATGTTGCTACTATTCTCTCGGTTCTTATAAAATATTTCGAGTGCCCTAATTGAGACAGATACCTATTGAACTTATTAAATTTTACACTTCAACGCCCAACAGCACGCCAAAAAGGCTTATCTGATGGAGAAAATTAGCTATCCATCCGATAGGATGGGTTCATAAATCAGTAAAGTTTGAGTAAAGTTGACCTATATGCGGCAGTATTAAATGTAATACGGTGTTTTAATTGACTATATAATAACAGGCCTGTTTACGTGTCAAAATAAACATATTTATCAAGGTGGGGAAGACTCCGTCTGGAGGAGTGGCGTGCTCTATAATTACCGGTCTGTACGCAGTAAGTTGGCTACTTGCTGGTATAACGCGAGCGTATAAAAGTCATCTTCGACGATTATGATTTATAGATTGGTACGTCCGAGTAAATCCATCATCATATGCTCGAGAACGTAAGAATTTCAGCAGCTACAAAATTCTACAATATAAAGCAGTATTTACGAAGCACTTCGTGATATACGCGCCCCAATTCACCTCGGAATTTATAACTACACCGAATGTAAAATGTTTGCGAAGAACAGTAAAAAAAAGACGTTTCAGCAGATCGAGTTAGGACACCATGCAGGAACCGGGCACCAGCTACTAAGGCTGTATTTCACTGTCGACGCTGGCTGTGCACAGTCCATTAGGCAAACTCCCACTAATGGCCCGTTACTCAACGGCCAAACAATATCCATCCGTTCCGTTTAAAAAGATTGATTTTGGCCGAACGGAATGAAAGAAAGAAAGCAAACGGGTACTGGACCCGCCATCGCCGGCAGGACCGTAAGCTCGGACGATTCCTGCTGGAAACTTCCATGATGCTATTAACATTTTTCCAAACTTTAATCAAACTGGATCTCTACAAACACAACTCGCAGACAAATTGAAATTGCAGGATTGGATAAGCAAGAATAATTCGAGCGTTTGCGGGATTAAAAGTTTATATTTTTAAAGAATTAAAAAATATTTTATCGAACGAATCGAGACGTATCCATTCCTGCGACGGTCCTGCAGGAAGGCGGCCGTCCGAAGGGGTGCAGCAGGAGAGGGAGGGCGAGGCGACTGTTCGGTCAGCGCTCACTATTTCATTTTAATGGTCCCCGTGCTCCCGGATTCCATTAAACTGTTTTCTCCTGCGAAGTTTACTTTTGCCACTGGGACCATTAGTTTGATGCAGCAGGAAGCAATCCTGCCAAAAAGAGCGCGATTGATAGATAGCGCGGTAGTCGCACGCTGTTGCCTCTCCCTTTGCGGACGAGCGTCCGTTTTCTGCGGACTCGGCAACCAATAATTCAAGGAATCGATGCTGCAAATAACAATCTGGTTTTTCCGGCAAAAATATAACGTTGTATAAATACGTTAGAGTTGCGCAATTAATTCGGGATTGCCGATCGATATGGCTCCACGACAGAGTATAATGTTGAATACAAGATCTCAAATATGAAACAATTTTGCAACTGGAAACTATACTGCATCCAATTAGGAAGTTTCCTATATTCTCGCGAATATCTTCTCCCTGGTGGAGCTTTAACTAGTTAGCTCTGGCAGAACGTTTGCCAAATTTATGAATACCTAATGCAGGATATATCGATTAATAAGTTTATACTATACATAGTATAACTTCTGATATATTATCTCAATAAATAAATTTCCCGCTCATCATGCCTCACAGGCTAATAATAATATGCAAGATACGGTTTCATGGCAGCAGCGTATATAGGTGTTGCGCTGTTATCAACCTCCAGGAGGTCGCGAGGAAATCCATACATCACTCCGACCTCTGCACCTCAGCTGGAAGAGGGAGATTCCGGCCGGGATAGCGATACGAACAGGATATTCTCGGCAGAAAGGGAATAGAAGGATACGACAGGCAGCGTTTCTGCCATATATCAGCGAGACAAATTAAATTATCCGGGCGTCTAAGGAGATAAGTCTGGATGATAAGATGGTGTATATGGGATAGTCCAGTCCGCGCATTTTATTTTTTTTTATTTTAATGACCAGAAATCGCTGGTTTGTTGATAGAATTTTCGTGTAACGAACAAAGTAATGTAGCGAACACCTAAAATATTTCTTTTTGGCAATGTGACAATGAACTTATTCTATTTCTGTGATTCCGCTAAGTTTCTTTACCTATGCAACATATCGAAGTGCCCGGCTAGAATGCGCATCTCGCAGTGGCGTGCCCGCTTTCGAGTTGATGCTCACTGGTAAATTACCTCTTCCAACCACACGTACAAATACCCGCGATTATTCACACGCCGAATATTAATCATAAACATAATGCAATTACAGAGAAATTTACGAAATAATTTGCCTGGATTTATTGCTTCTAATGGATGTATTTATTTTCGTCGAGAGATCGTCTTGGCGATTTCCGAAGTGATTAATTTCGGTTTCGTTTGCCGAACATCCATCAAGGAGGAATGTTTTCTGAATAATTTTTCATGCGCACACTTATCTAGCGAATGATGTATGGAGTTTCAGCGGCCCTTTTTTCTGTTTACTTGTAGTTTTCAAAACTAGTTCCATTCGAGTAGGGTTTTCTAAAGTCCCAGATTCGTTCGAGGCGGTAAACACCCGAAAATAGTGGAATCTCGATATGGAGAAGTGCCTTAGATGCTTGGTTATTTCCATCCCATCTGGTCCCGATCTCTCGACGCGACATTCTGTCGCCTTATTTTTCATCCTTCATACGAGATTAGACATGATTTTTTATTCTTTAAAGATAGCGAAATCAACTACCCCGTACGAAAAAAAAGAAAGATCTTTGTGTCTCTCAGGTAGGGTATCATAAAAGATAATGTTACGCGCATTTTCACGCTTCAAGTGGTTCAAGTTCACCATCCTTAATTACAATTTATTTCTCTTAAAAGAACGATTTTTTTTATCAAGATGTAGATATTAATAGAAATTTTCATGCATATTTGATTAAATATTTGCACGAGAAAAATAAAAGCCATTCGGAAAAGTTATTCAGCTATCTAAAACACTTTCAGCGATTTCCTTTGAGACGCCATCTCGGTAAACCATAACCTCACTTTGCTCGGAAATTCGATAAACGAGACCGGTGCGCGCCCAGTGCAAATAAATAATAGAGAAAGGGGGACCCCGGAAAGCGGGGCGGAAGGGGTCCGCGTCCCAGGAGTCATCAGGACATGACACTTCACTTTTCGGAGACAGTGATGGGTCCCTATGCAAAAAACGTCGAAACACGACACCTCTAGTCGGTTTGAGACATCAACCCTCTTTATTATTGGAAATATTCATGGACGGGAGAATAAAAATAACCCCGGTCGGAGTGGAAAAAGTGAATATTTGAAAACGGTAGAGTGACGACGCAGATTACGGGCGGAACGGTTTTAGACGGGGCCGGTAAATATTTCAAGTGCCCGGGGGCGGATGAATGTTTGATACGGTGAAAATTTCGGTAGAAAAATAAACCAAAATCCACCCCGTTGTAAAATGACCATCGCGCTTTTCGTTCGAATCGATAAGACACCATCATTTATACCTAAGTATTGTTTCTGATTACAGAGACCGCCGTCGTCGTCGTTGTCATACGGAGGTCCTGTCAACGATGATGTTAGATCTCCAGGTACTCCAGGACCTTTATCGCAGCCGCCTGCGTCGCAGCAAAGCTTGGACGCATCGGATCCTGGTAAGTCAAATTTATATATTTTCGAAAATTTCATTCATTCATTCATAGTTGAAATACATAATTTATATTCATTATTCTATATATAGTAAATTAAATTCGTTTTTTGCGAATTAAAAATACTATATACAAGATATGAATAATTCAAGTAGTAAAATGTTATATGAATGTAAACAAAAGCGTTGATAAGCCATCGGCTTAGCGGCGCGTCTTCCAACAATTAAAACAACCGAAAGCCGATTACAATTAACCCGATTACGGGTGTAAAATTAACTTTTTGCGTGGCTGCTCCATTGTCTTCGCCGGCGTCCGTAAGTACCGGCGACCGGGAGGAGTTTTCGGCATCGCGAATTCAGAATGCACGCTCCGCAGCACCGCGTCAAGAACTTCTCGAGACTCTCCCCCGGCTTGTTTCGCTTTTGTTCTTTCCGCATCGCCAGCTTTTCTTCTGGTTTCCGCGAATTATCGCCCCCTCGCTTCTTCGACTCGCCGCTTTTTGTTTTCCCTAATACCTGCTTCAATTTCGACGCTTCATTACCGAAAACACCAGAAAACTTTGTTAAATAAACCACCCTTATTTAAACTATCTAATGCAAAAATTAATACCTATACATTCTCCTATTTTATTAGTGATTATTAGGAGTACGACGGGTAGATATGAAATAAAAAAGTTAATAAAATTCTATTGGGGTTATTGTATTTAATAGTTTATTATCTACCTTCTCGACTATTACTTGAGACCTCTTATCCGTTGAATTGCCACGAACATCGACCACGAGACCATTATTCCGCGTCGAGCATTACAATTTTAAAATTAGTTGTTACCGCAAGAGCGCTATAAAGCTATATCGCAATGCGATGGGTACTTTTCGCGTAATTTATGTGTCACCGTATATACCTATTCATGCACTTCGTTCGGCTCGAATTTTGATTGCATGCGCGGACGATAATTGCTTTTTTCCTTGATCCTCGAAACACTGCGCTATTTTAATACTAATGGGCCTGTCTGCCGGCTCATTTTCCACAGGCTTATGCCGGATACGTTTTTCTAATAAATTTTTTTTTTGTACGATGAGTCTTAGGAAATAAATTATATACAGGGTTATCCACTTATAAACTTTATACAGTTACCTGATATAGGTATTGCAAAGCTTTGAAGTCAATCGTTATTGATATACATTAGGTGTTGTGGGGTATTTATTTCTGATGTAAGTTGGAGTTTTAATTTCGATACTTACCTAGATAAATATCCTCGTAAACAGGCTTTTTCGGTGTGTATGTGTGCTCGGTCGTTTCTATTATTCAAAGGGTGGTAATTTTTCGGAATTAATGGGCTTCGGCGTGGGCAGTGCGTACCTGAATTTATCGGCGAGTATAACAAAAACCCATCATTATTCAGAATCAACTGATGACGCATCCTAATGCACCATTAATAAATTGAGATTTGTGCGTCAGATATATTTGAATATCGGCATAGTCGCTGGGACAGTCGCTAACAGGACCGTATTTGTCCCAAATCGATATAGAAAAATGGATCAATATCGATTCTGCTTCAAAACATAGAGTAAGATCTACTCCATACGAAAAATCCCAACAACTTTTCGATGAATCCACTCACAGAATTGAACGCGTAGGTTCGATTTTTTTCATAAAACTGCATCGAATCCGTCCCTGTCAGGGGACGCAGATATATGTGTACACAATTACACGTTGTGGTGACATTAGTTTAATTCAGTGTCAGCTAATGAAAGTTTACGGTCCGACCACGTGAACTCTGTACCCGCCACTCGTTTTGTTCAACATATTCGGTTTAGTTTAGTTATTTGACGTGCCGGTTTTGTAGACTCGAAGTTATATGCCTGCCTACGCCGTGCATCGCATAAAGTGGCTCGTTGCAGGGCCGATTAACAAGCGTTTTTTTTCCGTTTCCGTAAATGAAAAACTTCGTTAGATTTCAACCAGCAGCCCGATTGTGGAATGAATTGTATCGCGTATACGAACCGACGAGTAAAAATTCTCTATAGCAACGCAATCGAACCGATAAAAGGACGAAGTAAATATTTATGGAAGTTATCCAGTTTAGTAAATTATTCGTGAAATGGCGCGCACGCGGTCGAGTTTGTCCTTTCTATAACAACGGCCGTTTCGGAAGTTCGGACGAACTTCCAGACGATGCGGTCACTATTTTATGGCGAGTAACTCGAATGCGGGGAGGCTCGTCCTTTTATGTGATTAAGAAAAGTTTTTCTTTTATTACATATATAGAGCCTTCGGTGAATTAGGGCCCGGAAGGACAATTATTCCTGACCTATACGTGTAATTATGGTAATCGATATTGTTACTTAAACGCTCGTGGAACGACATTACCCGCAACCGATTAAGGTATTAATGACTCGAAGGCATAATACAACAACGACGCTTGTATTAGTAAATAATGAAATGTTCCTCACTTGGACTATTTCAGTAATTGAAACCGGGCATGTAATGAAGAGTTTGCGCTTCTTTATCGGCGCGTATATACCCTCTCTCCCCATCTCCCCCCGTCGCCAGCCCTCCCGGTCGGTTTCGTTGAACATTAACTCGGCGATAACAACGGCCCTAATGGTTAAATCGATAATTGTTCATTTGCTCGAATATAAAATTACAAGTAGTGTCTTTTAATAGATGACGGGGAAGCCAATGCACGAGTCGTTAAGTGAGCATTACGCTACCGTAGATCCTTGTTCCAGATAAATCGTCCGGCTCATCAGCGAGAAAGACCTATTTTACAATTTGTACGTTTCGAATAATTAACTAGAAGATATATATTTTTTTTTTCGTGGAGTATATCGAATAGTCGCGCGGCATCGAATTTCCAATTCCATATCTAATTTATATTCATGAGCCGTACGGTAACCAAACTGCATTCATATTTGATGCGCCTTTTTGGCTGGGGAACGTTTTCTCCCAATATGTTTATGACCGGCTCCTCGCTACCCCAAATAGCTCGGGTCAATTACGGCCGACTTTTCTCCCGCAAATCCACGTCCGGCTAGTGTTTTTTTTTTTTTAATACGACATCTTAGAGAACCTCGCGAAGGAACGGGGCCCAGATATCCGAGGGCTGTAACTCTCAATTTGCCGCGACCGCGCCGCTTGCGCTCCTGCGGGAGCTTTGATAAAAACGAATGACACCGACGACACGACCGTCCCCAACGGAGCGGCCTCGTTCTGTACTATTTTACTTATTCATTTCACGAAGAGAACTTTTAAATTGCGTAATTTAACGAACGTCGCCTTTTTTATTCGCCCCGAATATTCGGCACTAGCGCCCGATGATGAATTATCAGCGGCGGCGAAACTCCACGAAATTTCTCTCGCAACTTTCTGCAGTAGGTCACTATAAAATTAAATCGGGAATAAAATGAGTCGGGGGACGCCCGCGACGCCTCTGGGCCGCGTTCTAATGTCGCGTATATAAATCGGGCGAGTTTAATTAAGATATTGGGCAGCGCCGCCGGTGGAGATATTCTTTGTTTCGAGGAAGGAACATCCATCAAGGCCCTCTTGCTCCGACGATATCGCTAATGAACATTTTAAATTTGTTATTCGCGAACGCTGATAACGGCTTTATCGGAACTCGCCGCCGCGCCGATTTTCCTCCGTTTTGAATTCGACGCCAGGGACGAATCGGCCCAAAATTGGAAATCATACTAATGGAACACCAAACGAATGCAAATGCTTATAAACTTATCTAGATATGTAGATAGTTTGTTTAATACAATGAACAAACTCGATCAACTGATGATAAAATTGAATATTTTGGTAAAGAAACAGCCAGGAACTGAGGGAGCTGAGTGCGACCCTGCGCTGAAAACTCCATTACAATTCCGAGATGACCGTCTAGATTTTCAGCAAGAAAGGCAACGAGAAATTTCTTCTAATGGGATTCTTTGTTTCAAATAACTTACCGTGTTGTCTCGATCGGGGTTGGAAAGAGCGAGGGTGATACAGCGGGAGAAATTATCTTTTAATTTAAAAAAAAGAAAGGGTTGCCGTCTCTCCGAAGGGGAATTTAATAATTGCACTTCTCGGTATTCCGAAAATACGCAATAGCCGATGCGTCGAGCCGTTTTTTTCTTCGGATTTTCGTAGGCCATTAATCTCCCCGCAGCGAATTCGCGATGCGATTCGCCTTAACGTTCGTCCATAAATAAAATGCGGCTTTCCATTCGAGATTTTCGGATGGACAATAAGCAGGGAGAGCGATCTCCTTTTGTCTGTCTCCATTCGGAGATACAAACTGTCGGATTTCTGCACGTCTGATTGAGATATATTGGGCATTATCCACGCACCGCGGGATCCCGGAAAATACTTCTCCGTCCTGATTTTTATATTCCTGCCCCGCAAAAACGCATCGCCGGGTCGTTGTTTTCCGGGGGCATAAATAACGATAAATTGAAACGTTCGCTATTTTCTATTGATTGAAATAATGCGTGTGGTCTTTACAGGAACTTATAATTTTTAAATAAAATATGGCGTGTAGCAAGGGTCGTTTTATACGGGCGCTCCTCAGCCGTTGACTAGCTATAAAAATGTCGTCTGGCGGTAAAAGTGACCGTCAAAATCAGTTTAATTCGTCGTCGAATGTCCTATCGCGCTCATCTTATGTCATTCGGAATCGCTTGAAGAGGTCGTTCCGGACCTATCTTACGGCTCCCGGTCCCGTAAAAGACAAGGATGAAGATTTCCAGTGCGGTAAGGGTAGCACTTTACGACTCATTGCGTATTCCACGCCGGTTTCCTTAATAAAATAGTGTAGTGCAAGTTCGGGCGACGGGCGAGATAGAGAGAGGGTGCCCCGGTTTTAAATCTTTTATTGACTGTTTAAAATTTAAACGCGGATCTATTATACTTGCTGTTAACAGCGCTCTCACGTTTTACAGTTATTGTTGTCACGAAAATATATCTATTAATTCGTGTTCGAGTAGATGGAACGTTTGTAGGAATGATTCGTTAAGTGT